CTACTAGGTGAAGATTTATCATCGTCGTCTCATCTTGGAAGGAAACTTGCCAGTACATTTGCTATCAACGTGGACATTAACCTAGGAATCAAGGGATAAGTATGAAGACGTAACGGGAATCAGGTTTTGAGTGATTGTGGAACTAAAACATAGGTAATTCCATAATTGAACTACCGAAGTGAGCACACCAAGAATTTGGTACGTAGGAATACCTAAAAGCTCTATAAATGGGAGTGTAAATTACGCATCTTAATTACATATATGGGGTGATTTAATGGGTAACAACAGGAAAGACTGCCCAATCGTTCATCCATTTTCATTTCGAGCCATTCAGGATTAGACACACAAATGCAACCCTCAGAAAATGCCCTATACTTAGGTATGTTTAATATAGGCGAAGTAATGTTTTCGTCAGAGTGAAGCAATACTTGTGATGCACACATAAGAAGTAAGTGCCATTGGGAGAAATAAAAGCAGAAACCACGATATTAACAAATCCCTGGAACGCAATGACTTTTTAGAAAATATGGAACGAAGGTAGTATTTGGCCACCGCCACTACGTAAGTGCCACACACAATGACACCACGGGAGTTACTACCTATAATACAAAAGCTCTAAAATTTGAGCTAAGCGTTTACCGGAGGAGGTAAAGGATGTGATGACTACAAGATTTCATTGGGACCATTACTGTGTGTACTCACATGCCACGGGTAATGGTCGTCACCAGTGTAGAAATAGCAAGACCATATTTCGTAATGTTGTGCTCTTCGGTACCAGCACTGTCAATCGTTTCGCGCTTTCTTTTGCTCCTTCTAAATGCAATGTCCTTCCCCAAGATTGGCAGGGACCCACTCTTGCGCTGACACTTGGCGGTGATCAGCTTTAAGTCGTTCAAAATTCAAGTGTCTGGTTACCCATATTAGCGCCCGTGAGATCAAACATGAGGCCACGAACCGGATAGCAATGGTCAGAGATGCTTTTGCCAGTCTTCACCACCTGTGGCGCACACGCGACATCACTCTCGCCTTGAAGAGCAGAGTTTAACATCCAGCCGTCTGTTCAACCCTACTCTTCGGTTGTGAAACCTGCCCTATCAGGTCGACAGATATAATGAGGCTAGTCGCGTTCGACCATCGAGGCTTTCGCAGCTTAGCTCCATGTCTGGCGGGAGCACTGCGTTAGCAGTGAGTGTGTTCGACGTCGCGTATGTGGTGCAGGAACAACGAGTGAACCGCTCAGCACTATTTTATCGCCCACCAGGCTCCGATGACTGGGCCACATGTTGCGCATGCTAGCCCATCCACCCCTGCGTTATGCGCCGGGGGTGTGCATGGAACCGGAGGCCAAGCGATGACTTGTTCGAGACAAAGGAAAATCCTCACCTCATAATTGGCATTTTTTGGTATGTCCCGACTGCCAGACTGGGGTCTGAAGAACGATGAACACATTTGGTTGGATACACTTGCTGATGTGGCAAAGAGTCGACCCCATTGGCGTTTGTGTTGTGAGTTTCTTTGTTCACCCCCTCCTCCATAGATTCTCCTTTCAGTTCCGATCTCATACCAGACGCATAATAGGATATTTAACATTATATTATATCTTTTCGCAATTTTTAGTAGTCTGTAACTTCCAATATCTTATCTTTTTTGTATTGCGGCACATTAGCTGTGGTGTGTTTCTTACCCTCAGCCAACGTGCAATGATGATGATGATGATGATGATGATATTCGGTACCGGGGGTGAGTACGTCAAGATATGTGAGGATTTGTGTGTCGCTTATCTGTTTATCGCCAAAGTAGATCACATGTGATGATTTCAATCCAAAAGCGGACGAAAAGATGGGTATTAAAATTTCACTGTACGTCACTGCCAATATACAGTTGCACAATTTCATGCAGAGTATTAATGAGCGTGAACACTTCAAACCTCTGTGACGTAATATTCGTGTTTAGTGATCGAGAAACAACTGACTCACTGAAACCTCAAGCACCAGAGTAAACCGCAGGAACCCTATATGCTCAGAATAAAGCGAAGCAAAGTTGCGCCCATGAAACATATGTTAATAGAGTCCAGTTGTCCAATCTACTGCTGTTTTGTAGTAATAGCACCTGTCGTATGCAACTCAGCCCCTGTAATCTGTTTGGCATGCATCACACGGATTGAATTATGGCGTACAGCACGTAACTTGTGCACAGGTGTCTTCGAAAAGTAGTCATCCGCAATCTAGGCGCATCAATATTGATTCTGTTATCGTTTAGCTGATAGACATTCGTCCCATCAGAGAATAATTACAGGCTGCTACACGATTGCGAGGAAGGAGGAGTGAGAAAATTGGAAGTGACGTGTACACAATACACCTATCAATGCACTCGTTCTCTAGCTTACATTTATAATTCTGATTTACGTGAATCTGAGGGCCAACTAGAGAATTTGTGTTCCGTTGGTCACTATTACTGTTGTATACTTTGTGTTGATATCTTTATTGCTGTCCGGTATGTTTGGTCCTTCTTGGTCATCCAGTCTTGCTTTTGTTTACCTCAGATTAATCAAATTTGTCACAAAGTGCTGCCGCATTTTCTCTGACTACTTGCTTGGGATTAGCAATCTGTTCCACACGCCGGGGTTCTTTTATCCTATGGACAAACTAAAGTTCATCATTGTCTCGGTCTTTGTTACAACCAGCGTTTAACCATTGTTGCAAAACCCTCAGGTGGTGTTGCGCAGTTCTGGTGCTGGTGGATATCATCAACAGCAGTACATCAGCCATTTGAACTGATGCTTCTCTGCCATACAACCACAGTGACCTACGTGAAGAAGAATAATAAGATGGAGAGAAGGGGACCTGGCGTAAAGCTTTAATGGCCTGAACAGACATTCAGGGTCAAGGCGTCTGCACATTGTCAACAACATACTGTCACAAACATCGACATCGGCGACACAGCTTCCTTGTGACTTTCACTACCCCGCGTCATAATCAGCCATGACCTCGCAGGTAACTCAACACCAAACATACTTTAAGCAGGCAGTCCGACGAAGAGACGACAGCAGACGCGCTACCGGTGTCAACTGTGAGCCGTGTACTGTAGTCTCGAGGCAAGCTGAAGGTGAGTCATGTGGACTCCAGCCTGTAAGGCGAGACAGACCAACCACGCCAAAAGTTGTAGTCAGTGACTTCATTTCTCGCTGCCAACTGAACTTTTGTCCACCTCGGGACTTGCGCCACCCTACGTTTGGCTGATAACACAAGGCCCTGTTCGCTAATCGGTGACTGGTCATACCTAGTACTTGTCCAAGCCAACACAACTTATTCGGTGCTATCTGTTCCAGGGATATAATATGATCTGATCGTCAGCTGTAACCCGTAACGGTGCTTCGCTGCCGCGCGACCACCACCAGTCGCACGTGGACTGAGTATACCGCGAGGACGCACACCCATACACAGATTCGAACCGGCGACCTTATTATTGCAAGCCAGGCGTGCAGACCACTCGGCCACCGGCTGACCTTTTCTAGGGAACCGTTTTGGGTATCACTGCTTACTACTCGCCCACGCACATTGTCGTTATGGGCACGCTGATGCCAACCGATACCAGCGATGCTCAAAGACTTAAATACGTCTTAGTTCCTCAGATCGAAGGGGCGAAGTGTCACTCCCATAGTGTAAGGCGGCCCTCACTGTAGCCTTGTAAACACAGCCTTTCAGACGGAGAGTAACTCCTTTGTCACCAAAAATGTGGCATGTTCAAATAAGCGATTCTTGCTTTTTCAAGAATCCTTGTCCTTGTTTTGTATTGCATGGGCAGGATACTGCCACGTTGCCCAGACCTAGACAGGGGAATGACTAGGGTTATCAACCAAAGGCTTTGGTTCAAAACCCGACCGTAAGGCAGCGGGTTTGGCAATGGACTACAAGGAGTCTTTTAAGGAATAGGGAGGCACTCTCACTCCACCTCCCAAGCTGGAGGAGTTGCTAATATTTTTCTGTTCTGTTGCTGTTCTGTGCTCTTTGAAAGTGATACTTGGCCAATTCGCGCGAGTGATCCACAAACGCTGTCTGTCACTTTTTGGGTCGGTACTGCCGATAGCTCATTGTGGGTGTACGCTAGTGTCATCATACTAATAAACACGACCTCCGTCGTTGAATCTTAAACAAACACTGAGCTGCGCAAATTTAGGTTACTTGAACGTCGCGTGCTTCCTATTCTCGCCCAGCGGTTGCCTCGCCGTGTTCTCCTTACGCGCACTGTAATCAGCCAGTGATAACACAATGGTTGGCGCATCATTTCCGTTCAAATTGTGAAGGCATGGCCGTGGTAGGACGCCTTGAATTCACTGGTTAGAAATCTAAGGGCCAATCGCACTGTCCGCTGATAGTCATATACTTCTTACTCATCGTATCCCTTGTAACACAATCATAGCATAAATTGTGCCAATCCTGATGAGTCCGCCCACTTCTTTTTTTACCAAGGGAACTAGGGAAGTATGCACCATACATTCACCTTGAGAATGGGTTCATTAACGGGACGCACTGATGTTGCGTCTCCACTTGTCGGCACGGTACTTTCTCGTTGGACAGGATCTTTAATTCGACGCCTCAAGTACAGATTCTTTTGCGTTTTTTCCAAATGATCTCCATAGAGTATTTTCGCGGAACGATCTAGACATAACCCACCGGCGCTGAAGTGCGGTAAAGTCCATAACGCCGTATAAAATCCCGACTGGCCTTATGGCCTGCATACCGTTGCTTGTTGCGGTCGTTACTGTTCTTCGTGGTACTTATTTCCACATATCCATCACATTTAATCTAACGCTTCCTTAAACTCTTACTGCCATGTGAAAGCAGTTCTCGAAAAATTCACTAAGCAATCTCATGCGGCCTTTGCAACACAATCTACCTGTCTCAAATATTTTAGTCGCATTTCTTGACTAACATCTACATCCACTTTTGACACTTTTTCCCATCCACGTTCACTCGTCTTGATTTTATTCACATCGTCAGCCAGGTGGTCTGCTTACAGGATCTCGTGCCGTCCACTTCCTCTCTTGCGGCCAGAAAATTCGCATCCCAATGCTAAGTACTCGCATGCAGCCAGTACGTGTGTCTGCCCAATTGATGCAACACCTCCGCCCTATCTGCCTCACGGATCAGCCGTCCATGCCGTTGGACAACAAAGCTTGTAAGGCGCCCGTGATGAAAGGTCCCTCGGACCCACGATCCAAGCCTTCCTCTCTGTCAAATCTACTTCCAGCGGAAACGATACTGACATCTCAAAAACCAAGTTAGAAAATGATCAACCGTTAGCCAAGCGGCCAGCACTGGCTGATCCAGCAAACCGCTCTTACTGTGCCCTCGTTGATGGTGTGCTAACCACACGTGATGGTAAGCTTTTTCCCGTGAAATGCACTCAGTTTTACGGACCACGTATTTATTCAATCTTTGAATGTCTGGACAATCACGAACTCGTGTTGCGCTTCACCTCCACCACCTCAATATTGACCTTATTGTGGACCTTTCTTCATTTTTCCAGATATCTAACGGCAGGGATTTACCTTAAGAGCCGTGCTCATTCATCTTTTTCTTGGGGACGATTCCAGAATCCAACATTCTCACATTAAGTGGTGTCGCGACTTTACTGGCCACTATTCATGACTAATTTTACTGTTGCATGATATCACTTGTTAAGCTGGCCATCCTTGAAATTTCACCGGCTTAAAATCCACACTCCACAGCATCAAAGCTCGTAGTTCTCAATTCATTACGGAATGCTTAATATACGAACTGAATGTGGTTTATCGGAGACAAGAACCGATTTTATGTCGGAGTTACAAATATAAGACCTGCTCAGCTGCTGTCCAGGACGTGAAGGTCACGGAACTGTTGATTTTCTACCTGTCAGTGTGATGAGTTTTTGACTGGACTGTGACAGCAGTGATTGTCATCGCTCCATCACCGTAATCATTACATGTAAGCTGAAGGTAAAAAGGACCTCAGAGGTTATGTAATTTACATCAGCTTTCTATGCTGCGCTCCAGTTAGCAATTTGAAAATAATTACGGACAAAGTTTGACCCACTTACTTGATTTGTTCACTAGTAGATAGCCGCGACTTGGATCAAACAGATAAGAATGGCGGTTGGCGTTTGCTGCGTGTACGGATTGCGGACGCGAATCATACCCAATTTTTCGGCTGAAGTTCTATTGTGACCTCTTGACACACAATTGCTAGTGGCTGGCCTGTGACTGAAACGATCACCCACCTGCCTTGTAATCCGGAGGTCGCGGATTCCAGCTTGCCGAGGGTACCGGGCGAATCTCGCAGAACTCTTATCTCACGCGCGACTGATGGTGATTGCGTGGCGGCGAAGCGTCGTTGCGGTATGTCGGAATAATGCTGATGCGGTCACTCATATCAGCGTTGATTTGTGAACGCTTTCTGAAAGCGTTGCTCCGGCTGTTGGAACTGGAGTAACGATTTCTACCGTGGAAATGACTGATATTCTTAAAATTTCATTTCTTCTATCTTTTTGCTTTTGATTCATGCGCTTCATTTGAGGCACACAGCCTTTCTTTGTTGTGTGTTTGCTGAATGTCTTACTCCTTATCAGTTGTCACACACCTCTAAAACATTCTTTTTCATCATAGCCGCCGTAATGCTTACGCAAAAGCAACTTATTTCCCTAATGTTGGTTTGCTTTGAAGCACCCGTTGTACGAATACATTGCGGTACGTAAGCAGTGTCGAGACGTGGATCTTTCTGACGGACACATTTGCTACTACGCTACTATCGGTTACTCACTCATAGATGGTTTTGTTTAAGAAAAGCCTGTTGTTTTCGGTTGGATTTGCGATTCATATCTTCAATGTAGACTTGCTTTTGTGTGGATCTTGACGATCATCTATTGCTTATACCCAACTTAGCTGTGTCCTTACCTTTTCATTGCACTCATCGACGATATGGCCAACTACGCTCCGATAGTAACACACTATGACAGCATGTGTCCAGATTCTACCCCGATTTCCTCAAAGACTGTGGAAATTGCAGACAGGTACTGATTGGATGCGTGTATTTGAGTTGACAAAAATATGTTGCTGTTCAGTACTTTTACCGACTAATTAGCTTATACCACTAGATTTACTGACGGAAATCTTCTCGTTTTCTTCCGGTTTGGCATGACCTACTATAATTGTGTTACCAAGGCGGTTCTTTTTGTTTTTCACCATTCACTGCACTGCTTTTGAACGATTAATTCTCAGTTATGGTCTCCTTTTCAGTTTCTTTGTGTATTTCTTGTATTTGCTATGAAGTAGACGCGCATCGATAGGCTATATCCATGACTACTATGGACACCGAATGCTTCGATTCCCTACACCACAGTGATTGTAAAATCCTACACGAGATCGCTGTATCTATGTGATTCCCTGCGGTCTTTGCTTTTGAGCTCCTAGCAAATACATCTCTAATCGAGTACCTTGCCATTAACTTTTATTGCCTTGGTCCTGATTACGCTGCTGAGCCAGAAAAACAAGATTCACGAAAAGAATTCAAGCGTCTGTTGGTGACAGATGTCCGTTACTGCCTCAGTTTTAATTCTCATATCACCGTCATTGGGGCCCGTTGCTTCTCGATAGTACCTGCTAGGACGGGTTCAACTTTGGGGGCTATAGTAGCGCAGCTGCGGGATTCGAAATCCTTGTAATCCATATTTAATTGCCGATTCCGAAGTTACTTGCAATGTCGAGAGTGGTAGACTCTGAATAGTGCGCTGTTGGCATTCAGATCTAATTTGCTGCATCAACCACCTGGCATTGCTCTTTTCTTGATTGTCATCTGGTTAACTAATATACCTAGTTTATCCTCAAGTTATGGAGACTTTTACATTCCCGCTGATGGAAAACGAACATCAAACAACCACAGCGCTTGACATCTCGGTCTTTCCCTCCGTATGCCGGTTGACCACTTTCCTCAGGATGCGCTATATACCGTTGCTGCACCAGGTTGGGCGAAACCGCGATGTGATCAGTCAATAACGTGGCATAATAGGCTGAATAACTTGACTGAGAGACTTGGTCAAGTGTGTACATGCTCTCTTCGTATATAGGGGCATCAGGATGGTCCACATCAGCAGTTGGTGACTCTCTCGGCAAGAGCGCAGTGGCTCAGTTAGTGGCGTCCCTGCATTCGATTTGTTGCGTCTAGCCGTTGGCGTTTCATCTTAACTTGTTTTGCACACTTGTTTCCTAGCTTCCTTAACTTTGTTTTCTGTTTGTGTTCAACCTATTTTCTCATCATCGTTGTTTATTTTTATCTTGGCAACGCAACTCGTGATAACTGATTACACCACAGTTTAGCACTCGACTCATAGTTGTTTTACGGAACTGTACTTCGACTTCTCAGCTGTTCTGTTGACTCAATGGCATGGCAACAGCTATTGTCGTCCGGCGCGGTGGTAAAATTTTCCTCATGACTGAGGACAGAATAGGCGCATGAAGGCCACACAATCGGTTCAGGGTTAAGTGCACAGTAGTTCTCGATCAAATGGATGGTCGTTTTGGACACTGAGAATAATGTGGGAAAATAACCACAATGGGGCAAGTAAGCGGTTCGCTGGAAGAACGTTTGCACAGCTGTGACACATGGCACGAATGTGTTGTTGATCATACAGAGTAACATTAAAATTTTCAACCCTCAGCTTATCCACCGGTGCCTTCGCAGTTTGGCTCATATCTGGTGGGAACACCGTGTGAGCAATGAGCGTGTTCAACATCTTGTTTATGGTGCAGGAAGAAAAAGCGAATCGCTCAGCACTGTTATATCACGCACCAGGCTCCGATGGCTGAGCCACGTGTTGCGCATGCCAGCCCATCGACTCCCGCAATGTGCGTTGTTTGCGCGCCGGGGGTTCGGATGGAAGGAGAGGAGAGGTGGCCAAGCGATGGCTTGGTGAAGAGGAATGAGGGCCCTTACTTCGAAGTTGGTCTCGGTTGGAGCCTCTCGGCTCCCTGGTTGGGGACCGAAGGGCGATAAACACGTTTGGCTGGATACACTTGTTAACATAGCTAGGAGCCGACCACAGTGGCATTTGTGTTGTGAGTTTCTTTGTTTCTCCTCCTCCCGCTTAACCTCCCCCTCCAACCACGATCTCAACTATTATGCATAATATAACTTTCTTGTGGCACAGTAGTCGGCTGTTAGCTCCCCGGAACCATGTACATCTGTTACTGGTGACTGTGCCGGCGTGCTTCTGTTTCATCTTTGCTTTTTTCTTTTCTTTTTATTGCGCCACAATAGCTGAGATGTTTTCCACCTGCAGCTAACGTGTATAATGATAACCTTCAGCTTATCCAGATATTTCGCCGTTTATGTTTGGTATCGAAAAATCGACGATACTAAAATTGCCGCCCAGGGCGGACCGCCCCCACGCCCTATGCTGCTTCCCTGCTTTGCTTTTGAACGTGAGTGATCCGCATTGCCCCCTATGTCCTCCCCTCTTCACTACAACAATGCGATCCAGCGCTTCTTCCTGCGTCCTCAAAACATGTTTAAGTATCACGGCTATCTGAATAGGCCATTCGGCAATGTTTATGTTGTAATAATTGCTACCTGTGGCATTGTATCCCATTACATAGTGATGTTATTTCACCGGATTGAAATAACTCCCAGCTGACCTCTTGTGACTCTCCCCCGCGTTACTTGTATGTGCTAATACCTGTCACACTCGGCGCTCCTTACTCGCCTCAACGCAGACACTTTTGTGCTACCTCGAATCGCACAAATTTGTTTTCCCAAATATAAGCTAGAGAATTTCCACTCCACACGATTATATCCAGTCTTAAATGATGGCTTGCTGACACCACGTACAAGCACTGATACTGGAATTGAGAAGCTGCGTTAGCAGCTGCTGAACGGTTATCTTCTGTCAATTCCATTTTTCCGTGTTGGACTGTTGATTCGCAAAAGTTTGGCACAACCCCACTTTTAGTAACGTTGTACTTCTTCCCTACGGCTCATGCTCTCTGCCCTATTACGCTTCGAGAATCAGAAAGTCTGAGTAGTGATCACAAGTCAGTTATTTATGGACTATAGAGTCGTTTATGCCGTACACAGATTTGAAGCGATATCGCATTGACAATTTTCACTAGTTGTTTCCTTTTGTCATGTCATGCGTCGTCCATTGATCCACACGCTCCGTTCTTCCTGTTTTCAACCCAGTCCACACCTACGCTGTCTGGGGTCGCGTTGAACTGCTGGGCTACTCCAACTCTCTCTTGTCTGTCTTACCCGTGCAATCGTATTCAGCTCACGTGGGCGCGTCAGGTCCTTTCACAACATCTATCAGTTGGCGTCGCGGTTCTCATCCCGTTTTCAGCGCTGATTGTTGTTTTAAGGTCGCGTAAAGATGGATGGCCACGTCCGTTTCCTAATTTACCCGTCGTTGTGATGGTAGTGCTCACAGCACACCTGCGCTTACAGGGAGCGGACCATGGGCAGCTTGTGCTGCATCACTGACGGCTCCAACCGCCCCCATGTCCACGGTTCACCCAGATGAATGAGTCTGGCAGGCTTGCGGATGGAAGCTACGATTGCTTTATAGTTGGCTGTAAAGTGTACTTTGTCTATACTTTTGTCTGTTTTCCCTTACATTGTTCCCCATTTCATAATTGATGACTATGCTGCTTGAGCAAACGGTTGGATTTCTATGGGTAGTCGTTGATCTTTTGTTCTAGGTAAGCACTGGCTTAATGAGACGACCGTCTCTGGTCCTGATTGTCGCAGCGCCGTTCGTACCCTCCTCCCATCCACACCCGTGCATCTGGCTGCCAACGCCACAAGACGCACTGCAGAGACGATGGATAAGTCCGGCATCAGTGGCACGCAAGATGGCCGCATTTTCGTCAGCCGAACTCCCCGTATCGATCCATTCCGGCTGATCAAGGAATTGACCGAGCGTGGCGTCACCGGCGCATATTTGGCTGATCCATCGGCAGCTACGAGCCGTGTTGCTCAACGCTTTCTGATGTTCAACTTTGATGATGCTGATGATAAAAGCAGCTCAAAACTCTCCCAGACTAATTATATCTTGTTTGTAAGTGTGATATTGCATTTATCCCATTTGTTTGCCACGTAGTGAGCTTATTGTTAATGGCTACTTTTTCCTATCGCACTGGCGGTGCTCTTTTCTTATAATATCCTTTACGAAATGTATTTCACTATCACTCTGTTTGCCCCTAGACCCATCAAATTCGTGGTATTTTTGGGTTACTCCCAATAAGGCCTAGTGCGCGCCTTCTATCCTCCTGTCATCTGTGTTTCGTCGATTATACCAAACACTGATAGACGTTCCGTTTCAACCACCGTCCAATTGTGAAACCGCCGAGTTCCGCACTGTGCGCCGGTTGCGCTGTTCGACTTAGTCGCAGCACTGTTCCTGCCTTAAACAAACCACAGCTGCCTTTATTTGTTTTTGGTTCGGACATAGGTTCGAAGTCAATACGTCCCTCTCGTCTTTGTTGCTGACTGGCTTACTTGAGGTTGAGTCCAGGCTTTAGCCTTGAGCTGGCTTGTGGCCCAGGGGATCACAATCTTGACCAGTACTTCGAGGGCGCGGGTTCAAGCCTGCGTAGCGAACCGAACGACTCTTGCTGTATCAGTAGCCCACCTGCAACTAGGGGTGGTTGCGCGATAGCGAGGCCTAGGTACGCAGTACCGACGTATTGGTGATATCTCAGTCTGAGAATGTAGTTTGCTTAGCAGGAGGATATCTTGATTAATGTAGGATCACCCTGGGCATTTTATGCGATCATCCTGAATATGTGCGTGAATTTTCTTATCATCATCATCAGCAGCAGCGGCAGCAGTTACTCAACCATTTGAACTGCTGCCTCGCTGCCATACAACCATAACAACCTACGGAACGAAAAATAATAGGAGGGAGAGAAGGGGGACTTAGCAGAACATCTTAATGCTCTAAGCAAACATTCAGGATCAAGCCGCCTAAACCTTGTGTTAACAACATACCGTTACAGACAGCTGACTATCGTACAAAGATAATGCGGCATCGGTGACACAGCTTCTTGTGGCTTTCACTGCCCCGCGTAATAATCTTCCATTACCGTGCACCATTACCTCAGCATCAAACATACTTTAAACAGGCAGTCGGATTACGGGACGACAACAGACACGTAACTGGTGCCGACTGCGAGCCATGTCCCCCAACGTCTTGAGCTATGCACAAGGCGAGACGGATCGACGGCATCCAGTTTGGTCATCAGTGACTTCCTTCCCCTCTGTCGATTGGACTTTCACCCACTTCAGGACTTGTGCCACACCACATTTGTCAAACAAAACGACGCCCTCCTCCTTAAGCGGTGACCATGCATACGTATTATGTGCCTAGGCCAACTCAGCTTACTCAACTCTATCTGTTATTCTGAGGAACTTACCTGATTATCACTGCCTAGTACTCGCCTACGCACATGATTGTTGAGAACACGCTGGTGTCATCCGACAACAACAATGCTTCGCAGACGACGATGATCAATGTCTTGAAGGCGCTTCAGATCTTCAGACCGAAGAGGCCAGTTCTCACTTCGATAGAGTAGGACGACCTTCACTGTGGTCTTGTGTACACGGACTATTAGACGGATGGAGACTCTTCTGTCGCCACAGATATCGGCGATTCAAAAAGGCAGTTTTATCTTTACCAATACGTAAACTGACTTCAATGGTGATGCGGGTGCCAGTTGTGTGAATTAATCAACTAGCTCGTGTTTCTGGCTATCAGGTGTAAAGCGCTCGTCAATTATCGCGCGCTTCTGCAACAACACTTTGCACTTTGTAGGTACGTTGCGCATGCGGAATGATGGGACCACTCTTGGGAGTTTGTTCACGATTGACTGGGCCTCACCAACATCGTTAAATAGCAGGACAATATCGTCCGCATAATGAAGGTTACTAACCTTTCATCAAACAACCGCTCAACGCTTTTATCGTGAGGTTCCGCAAAGGAATGCTCCATGATAGAGTCCATGAGGAAATTGAACAGAATTGGGGAAATTAGACAACCCTGATGAACTCTACGTGTGGTCGGAAAGATATCTGATAAGTCACCGTAGACCCTTACATGACCGGTGGTGTTCGAGGACAGGGCACATAATTCAACGGAACACCTATCCGCGCAAGTATTTCGAACAGAATAGATCGCTTGACTGAATCACATGCACTCTTGAAGTCACGGAACAAAACTATTGTTGGTCTGCGACATGTGTACCACTGATCTAATACCTGTCGCAGTGTGAATATGTGATCTATACAGCCACGTCCTGGGCGGAAGTCTGCTTGCTCTTCCCTACTCCGAAATTCCCGTTCTACAGTGAGGCAACGAGCACGAATTTAGCCTAGTAATCTCATCACCACCAGTGTTAGGCAATTTGGACGCCTGAACCAGCACACGGTGGTCTCATTGTCATGCATTCTGTGGCCATATGATTCTTCATCCTTCTACTGAGCTTCCGTATTTCTGTCTCACTCTCGTGGTCCGATCTTGGTCTAGGCATCGATAGCAAGTACCGCGAAAATATTGGATGACTCGCGGCGCTTATTATGCGATCCGACACATTCACGCAGGTGCATGCTGCGTCCGTGAGTTTGCGATTCACTGCGGTTGTGTCGTCGTATGTGGCGAACGATCATAGGGCACAGAGCGCTAGGGTTGTACCGTTTCTGAGGCTGCCACCTTTTTATCCCCTTGCTCGTAAGCTGCGAATGTATCCATCCATGTACTGCAGTGAGGCACCTCTTTTACGCAACCATACTCAAGTCTCAGTTTGTCCGGTTATTTACCAGTGTTCGGTCACAACACATTTCATGGGAACAAACATTAACCACCAGATAATGGCACATGCCCTTATGCAGAAATTGAACGACTACTGCGCTCATCATCTTGGAAAATACTTGAAACCGATCGAGAACTCATGATTCCAGAAAGTTTTGAAAACAACCGATTGGGCAACGTTTCGCTTTTTTCACAAAAGCTTCATCAGGCCGAGTGAACCAGTCGAGGATTGGTATAGCACTTATAGCGAACTGGGATGATAATCGCGACGAATGGGATGTATGCAGAAAGTCAACGGCGTTGCAGGTCAACGCAGCACACCAAATAGTGCATGGAACCGTCACAAGTGGTCCGCGTTACAAGGTCATACAGGTAAGCCCTGTTAACGCTGGGTGCGGGAATGATGCGGTGTTCATAAGCTGCCCTGGATCCATCCGCCGGCGCTCCTCAGACTGGTTGAGTTAACGCAGCTCGCTGCACGCTCGAAAACTGTGCCCCGTCCATTCTGTTCACGCAGCTGTTCACTGCTAATTTCAACCATCTCAGCAGTCCGTTACTGAGGAGTTAATCGCAACCCCTTTCTAACGATTTTGTCAGTTTTGAGGTTAGCTTGCTCTTTACCCACGTGCAAATATGCGACGTTTTAGAGGTAGTGAAACACTTTCTAATTGGGGACAGTAATCTGGGAGAGAGGACGGTAGATCAAATAGCAGAAGGAATGAAACTGTGCCTTAACGTGTCTTATTTTACGTTCCAACCTAGAGTATACACTCAGGAACAGGGACTTGCCATGGGATCGCCAATATCCCCTGTATTGACAAATTTATACATGGAAGACTTTGAAACAAGAATGCTGACTGATTCCTATAGTTCACCGAAATTTTGGTGGCGCTACCTGAATGACCTCTTCGTTATCATAAAACGGGATAAGAAAGACGAGTTCCTGAACCGCCTAAACACTTACAGAGACTATAAATTTCACTATAGAATTGGGCTCTGGTAGTGGAACATTGCCATTCCTTGGCTGCCTTATTCACAGGAATGGGTAGTCTAAAAACAACGATATATGGTAAGCCGACGGGCACAGATGGTGTACTCCACTACACTTCAGGTCATCCAAAGCATATATATGCTGGAATCGCCCCGTCTCTGCTTCACAGAGCCCAGACCCTGCGCACAGAGAAAGGAGACAAGATGGCCGCCTGGAAATAAGCAATGAATCACTTGCTTGGTAGTGGATACCCGAGGCGGTTAATGAAACGCCAGTTGCAGCGGCCTACTACGGTATGGCTTGGGACGGTAGGTATACCTTACAAAGGTGGAACTTCGGAGGCCATTTGGAGCGGCTTAAATAAAGGAAAAGTAAGGGTAATCTTCCAGAAAGACAAAACGCTCTGCTCTACATCAGTGCACTTGATAAACCCATTTATCACAGATAGGACAGCCAATTGCGTCTACAAAATTAGTTGCAATGTCTGCGCACATGTATACATCGGCTCAATCGCGAGAGAGCTACGCACAAGGATAACAGAAAACAAGAAACGCATAACGGCTATCGAGGAACGAGCTTGAATATATGGCTCTACTTAGAAGCTCGGTAGTAGCGATGCACACGGTACATACAGGGTATGAGATCGACTTGGATAACGTCAAAATCGTTAGAAAGAGGTTGCGATGAACTCCCCAGAGACTGACTGCTGAGGCGGTTGAAATTAGCAGTGAACAGCTGCGTGAACAGAATGGACGGGGCACAGTTTTCGAGCGTGCAGCGAGCTGCGTTAACCCAACCAGTCTGAGGAGCGCCGGCGGATGGATCCAGGGCAGCTTATGAACACCGCATCATTCCCGCACCCAGCGTTAACAGGGCTTACCTGTATGACCTTGTAACGCGGACCACTTGTGACGGTTCCATGCACTATTTGGTGTGCTGCGTTGACCTGCAACGCAGTTGACTTTCTGCATACATCCCATTCGTCGCGATTATCATCCCAGTTCGCTATAAGTTCTATACCAATCCTCGACTGGTTCACTCGGCCTGATGAAGCTTTTGTGAAAACGCGAAACATTGCCCACAGTCTTTAGTGCGATTTTTCCACTGTTTAAACTATCACACATATCTTTGCCAAATATACTGAACAATCATAGTGACTTTTTATATAATTCTGCTTTTAACTTTACCATTTTCTTCCCCTACCTATGGGATCCCACTACGTTTCATGCTTATTGGATTCTCCTTAGATTTTTCGTTCAAATCATTTTTGACGTTAGCGATCAGTATACTTGATTTGTTCGTTGGTTATACAGTGGATCTTTCGATTCTCGTCTTCGTCAAATGTCATCTTATCTGCCTTTCTTTGTTCTTTTTTGCTTCATGCAGCCAAACCCGAACACTGCAATTCAGCTTTCACCGCATGGTAGTCACATCCTAGCGGTCGATGAGGGCACTCGAACCACTATTCGTGACAGTATCTTGTCCTGTCTCCAGCAGATTGACACTTGACTTGGGCCGGTTGATTGAGTTTGCTTTGTATTGAATACACTTTGTTTATACATACTTCCCGTAAATCTTCATCGTTTTTTCGGGTCAATTTTAATTCACACTCTGTTTTCCGGCGTCCAATTAGTTTTTCCCTTTCATTAATTTGCCTCTCTGTTCTACTCAGTGATATTCCAGTGCAATTTCGCCTCATTCCCAAGGAAGCAGGTAGAGCCACGGTTTACCCGTACAACTTCCACCTTGTCGGCTGAGATTGGTATTTGCTCCACCACCTCACCACACTGTACGGTAACCAAATAAACTGAAGCGCTGAGGTGGGGGACGAACGTCCCTACATTGCGTTACTGGAACGAAAACACACTCCCTCTTGCTCATTTGGGGGTGATTCGGTTCACTGTCTCCTCAGTCACTGGACAGTGGTATATCTGAGGTTTTACTGACTGTAGACGAATTCGACTGCTCTTCTTCTTGATTATACATGGAGGTTGGTACAACAGAGGGGATATCCTGATCGTGGATCTAGACAGCTACTACCTCCATTGGTCGGGTTACTTTTGTAGTACTATCAGTAGTCGGAGCCGGGAGAACGTAGGGGTTGAAGGGCGTAACGGAACGAGAGGCCGTGACCTCAACGGAGGCTAGAATTTTCTTCGACAAAGGGTATCCATGACGACTGCATCGGGAACAGATATTAAGGTTTGTAAAGCTGCAGTATCTGAGATGTTGGACACTTGCCACCGTGGCCCGCAACTGCAAGGTTACCGCAGTGGCAAAAGTTGCGGATCACATAACAACGACTACCTGACGAAAGAGGGATGAGTTGGTTAGCTGTGGCGAACGGAGGACCGATCACGCGCCGTCCCAGGTTTCGTCGTTAATTCAAACAGCTGACGCTAAGTGCATGGACTCGACCAGTTCACGCAATGCCTAGTCTGATACGAAGGTGGCACACTATTGTTCCAAAGGAGGTTTTATATAGATTAACTAAGTGCGCGAATGGCGAGACTTCATAGAACAGTACGATGCAACTAACGTCATAGTGGATATACAGAACGAGTTAGTGAAAATGGACAGTCATCTTCACAATGGAATGTGAAATGGATAGCGCGTTCCATTTTTCGGATGTGAAGCTAGAGAGGAATCTAGACGGTACACTCACTCAATCCGTGTATCTCAAGCTTACTGGAACAGGACAGTACCTAGACCTTAACCGTTTTTGTCCTGTGAACGAGCATTGGTTCGCACCGCCTTTGCGAGGGCTCCTAAATTTTATATGGATAATATCAGCAATGCGTTGGAACACGTATCATCAACATCACATGAAAATGGATGCCCTAAGAGATTCGTAGCACGAGACACAAACAGAGACCAAGCGAAAAGATAGACTGACGTCCCCTACTAAAGTGTCTATTACATAACCGTTTAAAGAGGACCAAAAGGATAGTAGGTTAATATACGCTCTCCGCCCGATAATAAGGTAGTGATACTATGCGGCCGAATTTGTGCTATTGCATTAAGTAAGAAGGCTGGTATGTAAATCCAACCTCGACAAGTCGGACACTAGTTACCACCTCAAGTGTTGGACTCTTTCTTGTCGTAGCAAGTACATGGGCCGAACTCAGCGAAGGCCATCAACCAGGATTTCAGAGCATATTTCACATAATATGGTAGCGAACGATCCCAGGCCGCCATCAAGCTCCATGGTCCAACATATCCTAGACTGCTCTATGTGTCTAAATCCGTGCAAACCGTTCAGGATAATTAGCCGACAGAGCAATCCTCACCTGCTTCAACCCGCTGAATCTTCAGCAATTCGACGCTTGAAACCTAATTTATGCAAACATCCAGTTCATGACACATTTGTCTCCGTAACATTTTGTTACTTGAATGCCCTTGAACCTTGTTTCTTCTTAAACGCAGCACTATTCTTCCAACAGAGCGTTTGATTGAACGTCGAAAAAATACTGGTCAGACGGAAACCCTGCAGTACAAAGTTGACGTAGCAGCCGAGTATATTCCTTACTAATTTTGTAATATGTTTGTTGATATGCAGCCGTGCATTAGTGAGTATTTGTTATTCTGAACATGAAGGAGCATAGATTTCTGCCCGCATAGTTAGATAAACTAATTTAGATGCAACAATATTCTTTAGTTCTATTTTAGTAAAATATCTTTAGATCATTGGTAATGGTGTCCTTGTATCTTAATGTGGTAGAAAAAAGTTTACTTTTATTGCGACAGTAGTTTCATGGAAACATCTCAATGCTGTACTTCAGAACATGATGCGGCTCAATTTCAAGTGAACGCACCATCGCGAAATCAAACGGTTCCATTTTTCTATTGATTGTGTGTTAGTAGTTAATGCGTATGCCTGGTAGCTGAATTTAGAGTATCCTGCCAAAATATTGCTCCTTCTTGCAACCTTAAAAGTTGGCAAGGGAAAACCTTGCATAAAACGGACATTGCTGAGGTAATCTTATGCATTCGTACGCCGTTCAAGTGCGAGCTCTTGCTTTGGGCCCCCAGCTCTGCCTTAACTTCTGAAGGGATACGAACTACGTGCAATCATTTATTTTCTGAATCGCTCTCTACTTAATCCAGCTGGCGTAATCCGTGTCCACCTATGTGGCTGCACTTTTCTTTTTATCAATATCCGGTTTACTGGTTATTGGACTCTCTTAAGTTCAGTAGCCGCCTTACTCTAAAATGTTTTTAAGGCGTTACATTATTTGTCATGCATGAAGCCATCATAAAACACACTTTGTTTGCACAGACAATCGTGTCCTCCTTAGTTAGTTGGCTTTCTGAAACACTGATCTTCCATACAGGTAGTGCCCAAAATTTTACCCAGGCTGTCCAACTTTGTGATGCTTACTTGCTGTTTTGGATTGTTTCTTTGACTAAATGCCATCTGTGTACCGCACGTTTTAAAGCTGCTGTTTCTTGTCCACCATTGCTGCTCCCTTTCTGTCATGTTTTATCGTAGTTCAACCGACAAGCTGCGGTACGCCGATGAGATTGCTCTCCCTGGATCTAGTTAAGCACCTAATCCAATTTGTCTAGAGAGATTATTGCCGGTTACAATGAGAATTTTGCATTTTATGTGCTTGAAATCTGCAAAATGCAAGCCACTTTCTCGGCTAGCCAGCATACTCGGTTATAGCTATCGCGGAACAGTCACACGTGGTCAGTCATTCTGTTTTCCTAAGTGGTTGTGTTGTCACCATTGATCATCGCACTGAGGATGACACTAGATGTATCGCCCGGATCCGTGTGAATCTCCGAGGGCTAGCACCTTTGAGGATGTTGTGAATTAGTCTGTCAGTCGGCGATGAAGTCTACCTTCCGATTATAAAGCCAGCGTGATTGTATGGCTCCGGACCATAGACACTTCACACCGGTGACAATAATTATTCACTTCGTTAATATGCCTTATTGGGCCAGCACCACGCGCTCTGACAATACAACAGCACAGAATTCGAGAGGCTGTAGGGACCCGTCTTAGTTGGTCCACCTCGTACGACTTTGACCACTGGCGCCGGAGTATTTTGAACAAACTGCTCCAACGACGCACGGCATAACAGTCGGTGGAGAAAACTTCGAAGCATTTTGCTTCCAATAAGGGGCAACTTCTTGAAGTAATACGGCAGCAATAAGCGCAAACGGAAGCGCGCATGAATTTGACGTGAACGCTGACACAGTGACAACGTGCAAGCAGGGACAACTAGTCAAAGCTTTCGCACGAATGCTGTGCAATACTAGTGCTGAATTTAGCTGTACTCCAGATCTGTGCTATACTTTCTACGCTTGGCTTGAACGAGGTGAACACTTATTCCGGACAGACTTCGGTTGTAAAGACGTCTCTTGAAAAGTACGTCTCCTCCGAAAACTTGGAACGAACGGGCACCCCCGCTTTCTCGAGCACGTCTTGTCGAAGCTGCCCAAAGGCCTCACTTTCAATGAAACCCTGTTCCAACTATATGAGATATCCGGGGAGGGTTTCTTTGTTTGGTGTTCGTATGCAATTTTTGAACGTAGGCAAACGCGATGCTGCTGCCTAGGATACATTAGCCGACGCTTGTTCGTGAATGTGAACATTATATTCTACGCTCATTGGCGGATAGTCAGTCTGTAGTGACCGCGATTTACAGCGTCTATAAATCGCTGAACGGTTTGCGCTGCATTGCATAAACCAACAGGCATCCGTACTAATACAAATAAACCGAAAGTTGTAATAACAGCAGTTGTTGCCACAAAGTAGGTGCTAAGCCAGCACGAGTACCCACTGGTGCCACATATGCTAGCCTTAATATCCTGTATGTGGGGTATAAGGTACCGGGCGGGGATGGTTATGTTTTTTATAGCGCCATAGCCGCAGCACGTACGCTTGTCTCCCGACTTCGTAGGCACCAGGTTAAGCAGCGACGCCCCCGTGCTCTTCGAATCTCTACCTATACCCAGTTCGAGCGTGTGCCCGAATTCGGTTTTGGCGATTCTTGTCTTGTCGGGTGTAAGTCGCCTGGCCTTCGCGAAAACTGTCGGTTCTTTCGTAAGGATGTGTTGTTACGTGGCCTCGATTGGGCGGGCATTAGAGTAGCAACAATAAAGACCTGTGGAAAATGGCCCATGAGCATTTGCCCGATGGGTGAGCTCATCTGCGTAACGTAGGGGCCGATTGACTGGGCATCGGTCAAAGTTCCAATGAGGACGATATTGGTCATGCGGTATTAAGACGGTGGCGTTTCACATCCACGAGTGGGTCAAATACTACAGAAAGTCGAAACCGCTGATTAGTGTCTTGACGTCAACTACAAGCAATATCCACTTGTAGGCTGTTCGTAACTCGAAGTTGGGTGTGCGCGGATGCTGACCGTACACGCGAATGGTAGTGCCATTTGATGCGCGCAATAAACTAGTCGCCTCTTCATTGACGTCACTGGAATCACGTGAGGTAACGCTGACTGCTGGGCCGGTGTTAAGAAGATAGCGTACTCGCGTACTGCGATCGGCGAGGAAGAAAAGGCGACTGTAGCAGCCAGCGACGTTCGTCGTTCCTACGTGCTG